ACACCTAACCAATGTGCTAGCTAGCCCAGGCTGCATTCTTACTGTACTTTATTGTATCCCTGAGGAATCTGAGACTTGGATGGCTTTTAATGCATGGTGCCTTCAGTTGCCTACCAGAGCCCATTATCCCCACCAGTATAAAACTGAATTTTTTGCCTATTGGTGAATAATAAAGGGAACTTGAAATGACAAAATGGAAAAACAGTTTGAAGTTTAATAGAAATCTTTCAGTGTCTCCTTATATAAGTTGGATATTAAGATCTTGAAGACAAGAGTCTAGAAGAGTGGTTTCTCAACAAGTGGGTCATGACTGCCTTGGGAACTCTCTATCTCCAAATTTATGATTTATAACAGTAGCAAAATTATAGTTATGAAGTACCAGCAAAAAATAATTTTATGGTTGGGGGTCACCACAACATGAAGAACAGTATTAAAGGGTTGCATCATTAGGAAGGTTGAGAACCACTGGTTTAGAAATTAGCACCCAGTATTCATCCAAGGGACACAACCCAGGACCTCTTCTGTAGCCAACGATCTTAATCAGAGTTCCCCAGAATGGGACCAGAGACAAAGTTAATTTAGGAGGTGACTCTAGGATGGAAAGATAGGTGGCAGGATGGGGAAAAAGGGAGAATATGTCAACACAAGGACACTTTGCTGAATTGGCCACTGCTATGATAAATGGGTATTTAATAAAGGTGTTTGACACTGTCACTCTGGACTCAAAGCTTACAGTGTTTGCACCAGAATGTGGTTAAGTTTTTCCATTACATAAATCTGAGTCACTCAGCATTGCCAAGATTCTCTTTCCTTAGAGCCTTGCATTCTCAACATGCAGTGCAGGCTAATTTTATTTTATTGTCCAGGTCAAAGACATTTCCCTGTATCACATGTCATCTTTATTTCCCTTGCCCTGAACTTCTAAGTTGCTCTGTCTTGAAGCTCCAGTATTAGGTTCCTCTTCAGTGCCAGGACTTTGACAGTCCTCTCTGTTTAATGTAACTTCCAATGGCTCACGTGGCCTCCCAATTTCCAAAGGCCTTTGCTTAACCCCCCTCTCATTCTTCACTCCCACCCTATGCTCTGTGGATGGACATTGTGCTCCACCAGTCCCCTTGGCCCATTAGTAGACAGAACACACTGTGATGATAAAAATCTTTGCCAAAAATTTCTGGCTATGATCACACTGAGCTATGAATAAATAAGAAAAATCACTATTTTGTTTTTCAGATAAATTTAGACAAGCACTCTTGATGTCAACTTCTTCCTAGAAATGCCTTTGTTGATGGAAGACAGTGCAGGAGTGAGTCGGAAGGTGTAAGTTTAACTTGTGCCGTTCCTCTATGGAAGGCCTTCGATGAATGTGGGAGTAACAGGTGAGGATGAGGGAGGTCCAGAGGGGAGAAGAGGAGAAGGAGCAGGAGCAGGAGGAGGAGGAGGAAGAGAAAAAGAAGGAGGAGGAGAGAGAAGGACAGAGGAGAAAGGCAGGGAAGACTGTCTCTTTATAAGAGCACTGGTCCTATCGGATAAGATGCCAACTCTAAGGCCTCATTTCACCATGATTGTTTCCTAAAGGCTCTGTCTCCAGATGCAGTTCCATTCAAGATGAAGTCTTCAACCTATGTGTTTTCGACGATGGAATTCATTCTGAAATGACTGACTGCTGAGCTTATAGTTCACATAATCAGCTTCAAACAGAAGAGATCCCTTTCTTCGACACATCCATTTTAAAGATGCTCTGCAGCCCACCTTTTAAAAGAAGACCCACCTCCCCACTGTAACACCACCTCCACTCGAAAGCCCTTACACAGGGAGGAAGTCTTGAAGCCTTTGCTTCTCTCAGCCTTCCTTTCCTGGGCCTCCTTCCCCTTTACTGCTGAGGACAAGCCACAGACCTCCATCTCCATCCTGTTGCCACAGTCCAAGCATGCAAGCATCTCCTGGGGTCCTGTCACGGTCCACCCTCCTGTTCTGCTCCTCTGCATTCTGTTTCTAGCTCTGAATTTTCTCACCCTCCCTTCTTCCCTCCTTTCTTCCTTCTCAAAGTGTCAATATACTAAAAGTACCTGACAATACAAAGGAAATTGTGTCTGTTTGTGTGTTCTTGAGTATGGGGTGTTTCCTCTAAAAGGAAACCTACAAATTGAAAAGAATTGTACTGAACATGCTAGATAATGTAACTCATATACTGTTTTAAAATGAACTCTTTTTTAATTAGTTAATTAATTTTGAATAGTTTATTTTCTAGCCTTTGAAATTCCTCTACAGCTCCCTATCTTCTACTTCCCCTCTCTTGTCCTTGTTCTCTTCCTTCTCTTTACCTATTCTCTCCGCACAGACACCCTTTATTAGCAGCTATCTGGCTTTATAATTTGAGCACAGCAGTCTTGGCATGAGAACATCCAATTTCCTGCTGTACTAACAATGAGACTTAGAGGGAAACATGGAGGAAGTCTCCTGTGAGTATGAGAGGTGTGAAAAGAGCAATTTTGCTGATAGGGTGCAAGAAATAGCATCTCTCAGCATCTTTTATTTAATTAATGTTTATTTAAGTGAAAAACAATCTTATTTTATATACCAATTCCAGTTCTCTCCCATCCTTCCATTCCCCCCATAAACCCTCATCCCACACCCCATCCACTCCTCAGGGAGAGTGAAGCATCCCATGGAGGATCATCAAAGTCTGTCATATCATTTGGGGCAGGACCTGGGCCCTTTCCCATGTATCTAGGCGGAGAGAGTATCCTTCCATAGGTAACAGGCAACCAAAGCCCATGTGTGCACTAGGGATAAATACTGGTTCCTCTGCCAGAAGCCTCATAGACTGCTCAAGCCCTCCAACTGGTACCCACATTCAGGTGGACTGGTTCGGTCCCATGCAGGTTCCCCAGTTGTAAGTCTAGAGTCCATGAGCTCCCACTTGCTCAGGTCAGCATGGTCTTGACCCCCTTGTCTGTTGGCATTTTTAAGAGTGCGTAAGCCAGAGGTGCAATTCCCAGTCAGACAGATGGCCTGTTTACAGAAGGTAACCTAGATCCTCTGAAGACCTCTCCACTCAAACTAAGTCAAGGACTTTCATGAGAAGCAAAGTTCCTACACTCAGAGGCTGCATGCTCTGCTCTCCAGAAAGTCACACAGCCTCTTCTGGCTTTTGCTCCCTCAACACTAAAACAAGGCAGATGGACTTCATGTCTGTAGGAACCTTCTGTCATTGGCTTCATAACCACAACTGTTCCTATAGCACACGTGTGTGACAAGTATAGATGCCAGTTCCTATGCATCAGAACACACACACAAATACATATGTATACAAGCACATACATCATCTCATTCCATTCAGGCTGCTATCATGAAGTACCTTATCCAGGTCAATTTATAAACAATGAGTATGTATTGTTCGTGGTTCTGAAATCTGGGAAATCAAGGCCCAAGATGCTAGTAGATTCAGGATCTACGGGGTTCTTGCTCTCTGCTTCAAAGATTGTGCCTTCTTGCTGCCCTTTATAATGAAGACAGAAAGAGCACTTTATGGGCCTCTCAGATCTCACTCATGAGGATGGAGCTCTTAAAACTCAGTCAGTTCCCAAGGGACCCACTTCTTAATACTATCAGCATTGAGTAGCGTGTACCAACACACACGTTTGGAGCAACATCAGCATCAAAACTATAACATACATGCTAACTAAAATACTCTGGAAATTTGTTATGAAACTTATTTTCTACATGTCACCATGGTTTTGGGGGCAGACAAGAAACTTCATGCTCCACTCTCTACAGACGTACAACCAACAATCAAGATATATCTTAGACAAAGTAAGGGAAAGAAGGACTAGTTCTTTGAATAGCTCTTTCTTTTCATTAAAAAATATAGCTGTGCGTATGTGTTAGTATATTCAATATACTAAAAATTAAACAGAACATATATTTGAATCTTTATGTCTAAATATTTCAAAGACAGTACTTAGAATGTTAATAATCTGGGATTTTAAATGTAAATTGTAGATAGTATTAGTCCCCAGAGGTTAGGGCCACTTTGCCTGCCTGCTTGATCTTCATTATATCAGTGGATAGTGATTACAGAAAGAAATATATTCTATAGTTATTTTTGCTTTCCTTTTGATTAAAAATGCTCCTAATTTGGGGATATAAAAGTTGAATTTCTAAGGCCTTAGGGAGGTTATGATCTGACTCGTTATATAACTGGGTTTTACATATCAGTCGGGCCATTTTCTGAGAGATAGAAAGTAAGCATATAAAATAACAGTGTCTTAAGGCTCTGTGAAAAAAGAAATGATGCGGTATGGTGGCAGAGATGAGTATTGGAAGTGGGGAGCATGTGAGGTAGGAACTGTGACACTCTGGCTAGGGGGTGATGTGCCCCTCCCTTCTTGTTTTCTATCTCAATGGTGATACGAGGGTTTCCTGGTGTAGATCCTGATCTCCAGTAGGCTCGAGTGATAGAAATAAGCTGGTGTGGAAAGGACAGCCTTTTCATTTGCTCTTTATAGAGTCATTAATGATTAATTTTCATGCACCTAAGACCTTTACCAGGCAAGTATAATAGCTTGCATTTTGCCTATGGAGATTTGCAGAATTACAATGTGAAGCACATGTGAACAAAATACACTGCATTTTCTCCTTAGCTCTCATAGACTGTTTGACTATTAATGAATCTCCATCCAGCAGGTAGTGATAGGTTGGGGAGACTATATTCCAATTTAGTTTGCTCTTTGGAGATATTGTTGGTTTGACTTTCTTTAAGTAAAAGTTGGCTCAGTCTCATGTATTTGCCACTCTACTTCTGTATGTTAGTCTCTAGGTATTGAGCCTGGGTCATTAATGGCTTCTTCGGTGGTGGTTCCATGTAGAACTCTTCCCGGAGCTGGCCACTGCCACTGTTGCTTATTGCAACTGCTGCTTTATCTAGGCCTTGTCCTGCCCCTGGCATTGTGAGCTGCAACTGAGAAATCCAAGCTGGTGTTCTTCCTCTTTCTCTCTTCTTCAGCCCCTCCTCTTTCTCTTCTCAATATGTTTGGATGGTTCCTCCCAGCGTACTCCAGCCCCAGCCCCTTGAATATTCAGGACCAGATGCTTCATGATTAACTCAGCCTGCTTCCCAGCATCTCATAGATTTAGATAGAGGACAGACACACAGACAACGATAGATAAGTGGTAAATGAAAGACTGAGATAGAGATAGATAGTGGATAAATAAAAGCTAAAAATAGATAGATGATAAATAAGAGGAAGATAAAGAGAGCGATTGGAAGGGACTGGCTTATGTGATTGAAGGCTGTCAAAAAAGCCACCAGGGAGGACAGATTGGAAGTTGCTTTGGGAAGGTGTTATGCTTCTTTCCAAAGCTCTGGAAGTCCTTGGTTCATGGAGTGAGAAGGTAAGAAACTAAAAATGTATGACAAAAAGTATACTGTCTCTATATACTGTATATATCCTGTAAATGTTTTGCTCAAGATTGGAATCTACACCTGCCTAAAAGTATTGACCATTCCTTTCTTCTACATCAAGATTTGAGGACAAGTCTTTGCTTGGCCACCCATGGAAAAGATAGTAGATAAATTCATTGAATGTCTATATTAAACATTGATTTGTTCTCACTATGCTATTGACATTAAAATCGCTGCTTTTATATCCCCAGATAACCCAGAGCTGTATGAAAAGTGAAGAAGGATGTCACCTTTTCACATTGACTTGTTCTCAGTGCAGGCTGTCAAAACCCACGAAGATGTGCTCCAAGGGAGTGAGCAGGGACAGGTGCATGTGGGTTACTTAGTCAGAGCTCCAGTCTTACCTCGTAAGGCTATTAGCACAGGGCTAATAATTGATATATTGAATATATCAATGTGACATTGATACGTTGGTGCTGATATGCTGAGCTACACTAGACCTTCCCTTTCCCTTCCACTATCCCCATGGCAAATGTTCCTTGTATATGTATAGAATTTCATGGGTCTACCTTACTTTGTTCATTTAATGTCATGAACAGATTCGGGGGTAGACACTGTGGAAAATGTATCTCGTGTTCATGTGCAGAAACAGCTCTAGAAACACAGAGTGACTTCTCTTGAGCTACATGGAAAGGAAACTGCACCAGCACCCGGGAATCCTGCAGAGAAGTGGAAATTAGAATCCAGAAAAAATTCATGAAAACAGACTAAACCTCAGCCCAGAATGTATCACTTCTGACCAGACATCGGAATGTGAGTAACACAGGCGTTTGCTTTCTTTTTAACTGTAAGACAGAAATCCTCAAACTCTGCCCAGAGTAATGAGCTATTCCAAGTATCAATTTCTTATGGAGCCACTGGGAGACCAGAGGAGGCTAAACTTGTCTGCCTGGTTGGTACCCTTTAAGTATCATTAACTTCATGACTGAATTGCTCCCAGTCGATGAGTATTTTCAGGTTTCATCCCATCTTTGGCCAAGGGGAGAATGTGGCAAATACCAACTAAGTCACTAATGAAGTCTTCCCCGCCTCCCAGTTAGCAGGGGAGATACATTTTGGAATGTATCTTTTTTCATAAAAGTTCAGTGAAACGAGACCTAACCATAAGAGTTGAAAGCGAAAACCTGTCTCACACCATTTTCTTCCCTTATGGTTGCGTCTTGGACATAGACAATGGTTGTTAGCACTTCGTGGTATTTTATGACTTCTAGATGACTCTAGAGCCACTCTTTCCATCAATATTGTAGAGAACTGGGCCTTGTGTGTGAAGTCAAGGAAGACTTCATTGAAGTACCTTGTGGCTTGGCCATCTCTGCACTATACCACAATGTTAATAAAAGCCTTTGCTTGCCTGGTTATGGGGGAAAAGCTGTCAATAACTGTCTGAAGTAGATTTGTGCATAAACCACATCCCTAAGAACGCTCATCATTAAAACTTCCACTAGTACTTATTTAGATATTTTTCACTATTCATTTCCTCCCTCTTCCTTAGTTAAACTTAAACCTAGCCTATGTCCTTCTTCACAAAGAGAAGAGTACCAAGGAAAAGCAAGCTAAAGAAAGCAAAATATGATACAAAGGGGGAAAAAGATCTCTGTGGGGCCAGTGAGAGATGACAGGGGATGAAGTGCTTAATATACATGAATAAGAACATGAGTTGCAGGCACTGGTGCAAAAGCCCATAAACCCAGCACTGGCTAGGAATCAAAGGCAAGCAGAACCCAGGGGCTTGCAGGAGGACTCCATGTTCAGTTTGAAACTCTCTTTAAAAAAACAAAAACAAAAACCAAGGCGGAAAAGCTATTGAGGAAGACACTCTGACCCAACCTTTAGCATCTCCTCGCCCACACAGACAACCCCCTTGAGAAACTGAGATAATGATAGAGACAGTAGGGGGTAGTGTTGAGGAATAGAAGGAAACTTAGTCCAATTTTAAGATACAGTAGCTACCTGGAAAGGATGCATCCTCTCTCTCTCTCTCTCTCTCTCTCTCTCTCTCTCTCTCTCTCTCTCTCTCTGTCTCTCTCTCTCTCTCTCTGTGTGTGTATGTGTGTGTGTGCATATCGTGTGTACATGTGTAAATAAATATATATATTTGGATTTCATTGCATATATGCTTTAGGGCTTGGCTCTGTTTGTACTTCTGTTTATACACTGAAAATGCCTATGAATTAGGTCTTCCTTATTTCTGAAGCCTACCCTTTTACTTTTCTCATCATCTTCATACTGAATGTTCACAGCAATGTTTGATGACAGCTTTAGAAGCACAAAGTTCAGTGGTACACATATATGGAAATTCCATAATCTGATTATTTTGCGTTTACTAAGAATAATAAAAACAATTCGATCGGGGCTGGAGATTTGACTTGGCGGCTAAGAGATCTTCCTGCTCTTGCATAGGACCCGGGTTTGATTTACAGCACTCACATGACAGCTCACAACTATCTGTAACTCTAGTTTCAGGGGATCTGATACTCTTTTCAGACCACTACTGGCGCCAGGCACATACATGGTGCACACACCTACATGCAGTCAAAACACCCGTACACATAAGTAATAAAATAAATAAATCTTTAAAAAAGATGTAAGAGGGCCTGATCATCTGGACTGAATTGACCTCCTCACATTTTGTTTTCTAAGTTCAAAGGGCTTCAACTGTCAACACCACTTAGACAAAGCAGGAGCTCACCTTCCTACTGCCACAAAAGCGAAGGTAACAAGATGCAGAATGGTCCCCCACTCTGACAAGTCTGTGGGAGGGTCTGGTTTCATGACTGGAGACTGAGCAATCAATTAAAGAAGGGGAAAAGGTTGCTATTGGAAACCTGGAGGCCCGGTAGCTGTCAGAGGGGAGTGAAAGGCTGGAAGTTAATCAGACATAATGAGCTTACAGTCCCATAGATCATGTCAGCCAGCATTCTTATTAATTTCCTGCCCAACAGCCGTGCACAGAAGACCAATTCATCCATCAGTCCTTCCCTGGTCCAAGATGTTAAATCACTTGTCAGATCAGGAATGCTGTGATGAAAATTCAGGAGTGACATAGTGGCAAGAATGTCATCCATCATTGCCACATATTTCACCTTGAGAGAGAATCTTATACTTATACTTCCTTGCAAATGAGCGAGACCAGGCTCAGAGAATGCCAAGGGATGGATATCTAGAATCAAGATGGTAATAATTTCATGGGTAGAAGGAACATCTTTCTATGAGAAGGGATGTTTTAGTGTGTCCAAGATGGAATAGGTAATTGACTTTCAATGTCTGTCAAGGACACAGAAAAGTAGAAATGGCAGCATATATGTCATGCTTGTGCCATCTCTGATGTAGTACTTCTTTTTCAGTAAGAAAAGTAAGTCCTATACAGGGTAACAACTATTGGTATTCCCTTTATTATTAACTCGATGAACATTTAATGCAGTATCTACAGTGTCCCAGTCACTGGCTACAGAAAGGGTTAGTAAATATTTATCTGATTGTTTGAATTAATACTAGTTATATTTACAGACTATAACAGGAAGGCACATAAAAGACATTTTATTAGGATGGGGGGAGATTCAAGAAATACCCTATAGACTAGGTGATGCCTGATGCTTTGAAAGTTAATCAAGAACACTCAGACGATAAATAGCAAAATCAAGAGTATGGCCTCTGCATCCTGGTATCTAACCATCAATGAAGAGAAATAGAAAAGTATGAGATCTCCACCTTATCTATGAAATGCTTGCCCAATTTGAGAATGATGGCATGAACATTGGAGAGTGTATGGCTTATGTAAAAGTCTATCTGCTTGAAGAAAGTGTGATTGCAGGCAAATTGGTCATTCTATCATCTCCAGTGTCCGTAGTTTAAAGGGTAATATTTCCTGCAAAAGGTTCTTGTGGACATGATATGAAAATGCAGTGTTCAAAGCTTCTAAGCCTGTTTCTGGGAGAGTAAACACAGGAGAACTCTGCCACACAACCCCACCTCCCTTCCTTCAGAAATGCCAGAGTCCATTCTACATCAGGAGATGTGCAGAAAACAGGGCAGAGCAAGCCTTGGATTGTGGGTGATGATTTGGAATGACTCCACAGAAAATAAGGCTTGGGCAGGTGAAACTTTCCATGTAGCACTGAGGGGTGGTAGGGTAGGACATTCAGGCAGGAAGAGCCTCTTGAGACAGGCAGAGCAATGGGGAGGAGCAATGCTGAAAGGAGCAGAGATGAAGAAGCTGCAGTCCAGGTTGCACTGGGCACAGGACAAGAGAGGAGACCCAGAAAATAGGCCTGGTTGTAAAACTTTACAAACTATATAGCTAAGTATGATTTTTTTCTAGCAATAAACAACTAAGTTACAATTTGAATGGTCTCATAGGCTTCTTTAATTTATTGCTTCAAATGTTGTCTTCTGTTTTATTTTATTGTATGTTTTATAGCATGTACAGTCCATATTGCCATCTATAAAAGTTTTCTCCTTCTATATCTAGGGAAAGGTCATTAGGTGAACCAGACATGAATACCTTCTATTCAAATTATGGCCAAGTATTTAGGGTCTTGGATTTCTTCATGTCCTGAGAGGAGTAAAGGGAGGCAAAAGATTCATTCTCAGTCAGATATATGAGTTTATATGAGGATCATTATTATAGAAAGAAATAAATTCTCATTACCACCAGGGCTGTGAAAGGACACATCCAGGGGAAATTAGTATGTGGGATTGGGCAGGGCAGGGTTCAGTGCCCAGCTAGTGAACAGGGGCTTTCTGTCACTCTGTACTTTCTCTGTTGTTATTGTGTCCAAACAAAATGGAGATGTTGGGGCATACAGCATGCCACTGAAGAAGGCTTCACAGCACCAGGGGTAAAACAGCAGAGTCTGGAGCAAACATAGGAGGGATATGGCAGCAAAGAAATGGTACAGGAAAGGAAGAGCATCTGAGATAAGTGGGATGCCAAGTGCAATGAACTCAGGCATGGAAGCACCCAAAAACTTGTAATACAGCTTCAAAATGAGTTTTCTTAGGTCACTTATTGGAGCCTGGCTTATCTTTGGATCACAATGCTAATATATCCATTCAGAATGAAGGAAATGGCCTCTGTGACGATAAGCCACTTACCCAAGGTCATTAATCTCCTTGCATAGATAAGAGAAAAACATAGGTCCCTAGAACAAGGGTGCAGATTTTTTTCCATGAGATTTATTACTTAGAAGGATTGATTCTAACCCTTAACCATCTTTGGGCAGAGAAAGTCTTAATGAATGAAGAACTATAGAGAAAAGCAAGACCATAGTCTTCCAGAGAATGGTGAAAGACCATAGAATATGAGGCAAGCTGAGGGAAATGTTTATGTGAAATTCAAATACATCAATAGTTTATCTCTTGTTGACTTGGCCCTCCTATTGCAAAACTCACAGTAACCTACAGTGGATGATAACAGATGTTTTTCTTTCTGTTAGTTGAGGTTAATGCCAAACAAAGGGGTTTAGGATGGAAAATGAAGGATAATATTCATTTATTCATTCATCCTTGCATGCATGACTTTAACAAGTATAAACTAAAGGACCTTAGCACTAGCTGTTTTGCTAAAACTGAAGAGCACAAAGTTGAAACCAAGGAACCTGAAAGAGGGAGTTCCAGAATTGGCCACAGTAGACCGGACCAAGTTTTTAGAGATGGATTTTTTTGTGACAGACTTGGAAGATAACTAGTAATGATACAACTTGGTCATCAAAATACATACATAAAGATTAAAATCCAGTGAAGTATAAAAAATGAACCAATGTTATGAATTTATATGGATTTGAGCAAGCAAATGGCAGGGGAAGGAAAGTTCTTCTTTATAGCAGAAATTCTAACATTAGGATTAGAAAAACCACCATCTGGCAATAGGCGCAATCAGAAAGTATTGCCTCAATTCATATTTTGAACCTTTGTGCTGAGGTACCATGATACAAGCAGAGGCGGGGTGTAGTCAGAATCTGCTGGCCCTTTCATCTTGGACCTTCCTTAACTCTATAACTACAATAAATAAATTTCTGCCATTTATAAGTTATCAACATTTTTTAGTGTTTCCTGAAATAGACTTTTAAACAGACAGGCAGAAACCATAAAAACAAAAAATTATTGGGGCCAGAATTATCAATGGTTAATAAACTAGTAGACAATGAGCTAAGCATGATGGGTGACATGGTGAGATATGCCTGTAATCGTAGCACTTGGGAGTTGAAGTTAGGAGGATCAAGAGTTTAAGGCCATCTTTGGCTATATAGTAAGTCTGAGATCAGCCTGTCCTACATGAAGAGAGAAATGGGAAATAGGGAAGTGTAGGAGGAAAACAGAATTCCGCCATTAGCCATGTGACTTATTAGAGGCACATACAGATAAGGTAATAAAAGGGCGGTTTACCACACCACTAAACACACATATTTTAGGTATGACTAAAGACGTATACGGACGTAGGTGGTGAACTGCGTCACTAGCCTGCAATAAGATGGTGTCTCCTAGAAGAGCTACATCTGTGATACCGCAACAATATAGTTACACAAACTGTGGTGGTATCTTGTTTGTAAAAATAAAGCGTTCCTGAACTTGTTCTCTTTTTAGCTGTGAAGCTGAGGTAAGGTGTGGCTGTGGCTTGCTCCCTCATCTCTGATCTTCAGACATGCTTTATTTGTTCAAACAAGATGTTACCACACAAACAACACCAATAGACATGCCAACATGAAAGGAGGAAATCTTTGAGGTACTAGCCTTAGACAAAGAACCCCTGGCAGACAGCCATCTTCTTGTGAGAGAAACAGGTACTCCTTGATGGTCTCTTGTACTGGTGGCCACTTGTTTTTCTAAGGCATATTGGCCAGAATAGTTAGAAGCCCACCATAGCCAAATGGAACAGGGTACTGTGCTTTTTCCTTGTGCTCAGAAGAGGAGAGAAATGCAGATATTTGGTGAAGGCTCCTCGTGATTTATGAAGTCTTACAAACTAAGTTTTAGGATTTAGGAAGTTCTATAGTCTTGTCATCAACTATGCAGCAAAATTTTAGCACTGAAAATAAGATACAGTCCTCAAACATCACAAAATTTAGAGGTTGTTGAGATCAAAGTCATACTAAGCACTGCCTTTGGGTCTAGAGAGATGGCTCAGCAATTAAGAGAGCTTGTTATCCTTGTAAAGGACGCAAATTCGGTTCCCAGCAACCATGCCATGGAGCTCACAATTGTCTGTGACTCTAACTCCAAGAGATTTAACACCTTCTTCTGGCCTTTGCAGGCACTTTTCTCTCCCATACATTCATACATACATACATACATACATACATACATACATACATACATACATGGATGAAAGGAAGAAAGGAAGAACAAAAGAGAGAGAGGGGGAGGGAGGGAGGAAGAGAGGGAGAGAGAGAGGGAGAGGAGGGAGGGATGGGATGGGAGGGATGGAAATGGATGAAAGGGAGAAAGGAAGGGAAGGAGAGAGGGAGGAAGGAGGAAGAGAAACACTTTAGGAAAGCAACAAAAGTGGTTTTGTTAGTAACTTTTATGAAAGCCCCAGTTCCAGAAAAATCGTGTTCCATTGCAGAAGGATTAATAACTGCACAGCAATGAACAGAAGCCTGGCCTCTTATGCCAGCACTCCATTATGACAAGTGGGGAAGGAAAGCTTCACAGCAGCTCTTCGTTTACAAACTCTCTTGGAAGTTGCATAGATGGGCTAGGGTGTCCTGTTTACAGAGGAAGACAGAGGAATGTAGACAAAGCAGCCACTTTGAGAGGGCATGACAGAGGCCAGAAAGGACATGAACTCTGAAAAGGGCTGGGAAGACTGTGGTCATCTGCCTTGTCCTGGTCCCAGGCTCTGCATGTAACAACTTAGTCAGAGTAGTGGAGACTTCTCACGGATCAGTTCAACAACATGTGGTGAAAACAAAACAAAACCCAGAACCACTCACCCAAACAAAGCCAAAGCTGACTGACATACAACTTACAGAATGCTGTCTTTGCCCACATAAGCATATGTGGAATAGAGGATTGCCTGGGATGGCCAGGAAGGGCTGGCGAAAGAGTCTAGGGCTTCATCTGCTTTGCCTTTGAACCTCAGTTCTCCCTCTGCAGTGCCTGCCATACAGTCTGCTTTCTGTGGTTCAGAGCCTTCATCAGTTAAACAGTGTCCACAATCCAGTTGTGGGCAGCTGAGAAACTTTGGAAAACACCCACACTTGCAAAGTGTTATTTCAGGTAATTAAGAGAGTAAATGACTAAATAAGTGAGTTTGAGTTTCCTTCACCCCTCACTTCAATTACTTGAGTGGCCTTGTTTTTCCCAAAAAGTCAGTTTCAATATATGGCAAAGAAGAGGGATTCTTGATGGAAAGTTAGGAGCCTTGGACATAATTATGAACAGCTAAGTCTTATTCTAGGTAGGTTTTCTCACCTTATCAGAAAAATCCCCATGAAAGCAAAGAACAAGCAACAATACAACAATGACAAAACCTGCCCAACAAGCACATAAAGAAGTGTGTTCGAGATGCCCTGGAGAAATCCAGCAAGTTGTCAATCTGTCCTAGGAAAGCATCTGTCTGCTCCAGCAAAGGCAGACTTGGCCAGGGCCTTGGATTTGAAAGTCTCCAAGTGTGACTCCAATTATATTGGAGCCAGTACTTATTTACTATCCAGTAGGTGTCACCTGGTAGAAATACGAAGCTGGGAAGAGACAAGCAATGTGAACTGCCAGTCTGAGAAAGCAAGCAAGGATCAGCTAAGGGATTACAATGAAGCCTAATTATTTCATCATATCGTTGGAAACTACCTGTGAAACCAGATGTATCTAACAGGTGTTCAGTCAACAGGTACTGTTAGGTGCAAAACTGTTGCCTGTGCTGCCATCACACCTCTGTTATTTACGAGACACTGTGACATGACATGAGTTCAAATTTCAGGTGTTCGCTTGTTTTAAAAGAAAAGTTTCTTAGGAAAAGCTCCTATTTTCAACTAGCTACAAATGATGGGCTTGACTATTGATTTCTGATTCATATTTACTATGCCTTGAGATAGTATCTTAGTCACTGTTCTATTGCTATGAAGGGACACCATGACCAAGGTAACTCTTATAAAAGAAAGTGTCTGATTGGGGGATTGCTTACAGGTTTAGAGGGTAGTCGGTGGGAAGTCCGTGAATGCCCAAGTAGAAGAATAACAAATATTTATTTAGGGAAAACTCACAGACTGAGGGTAAAGAGCCTCTGAGTTCTTCTGCCTTTGGAGGTGCAGAATGCTATGATGTAGATGCTGTGATGTAGCATGATGATGAGGTCGCAACCTTCACCCCAAAAGAGAGTGAGAGCCACCCTCCTCTTCCTTTTAAAGGATCACAGCTGCACACAGAAGCCATGCCCCAAGACCCTGAAACTGTTGATAGAAATGAATTCCCACCATATTAGTCCACTATTATTATGGTGGAGAGCACGGCAGCATGCATTCAGGCATAGTGCTGGAGATGTAGTTGAGAGGTTTTACATCCTTATCCGTAGACAACAGAGAGCAGTGGGCAGAGGGAGGGAGGCAGAGAATGAGCCTAGTATGAGCTTTTGAAACCTCAAAGGCCACCTCTAGTGGCATACCTTATTGAACAAGACCACACCTCTTAATCCTTCCAAGCACTTCATTAACTGGGAACTAAGCATTCAAGCGTGCAAACCTATGGTTGGGCATTCTCATCCAAACCGCCACAGACAGTAACATTTGGCAGTAGGGGATGGAGGGGTAAACAACTTACAGTTAAAGAAGAAAATAGAAACTGAGTTTGGCTGATAGAGATCATGACTAGGTAACAGAATTAACTATGGTAGTTATAGTGACAACAGGGTACTATTTAACACTGAGTATTGGCCCACTGCATCTGTCTATTATCTATATATTCATATATCTATCTATCCATTCATCTGCCTATCTATCTATCTATTTATCTATCACCTATCTATCCATCCATCCAGTCATCCATCTATCATCATTTTTACAGTTATTATAGCCTGCAGTGAGAGAAGTCATATGGTCAGTCATGGTCCAAGATCATAGTTGGCAAGCATTTGAGTCAGGATTTGAAGCCATTTTTCAAGTATTTAACCATCACCCCATTCAGCATTCCTAAGGTTCAGGGTAGTTATGCACATGTTCAAGGTCACACTGCAAGGCAGTGAATGGAACAAGATGGAACCTGGCGAATCTGAGCAGGAAACACCTGAACAGGAATCCTCTGCTCAGTACTGTCCTTTGGCTGGGCAGGGAACAGAGCAAAGAGAGAGAGGGAACCTCTTAGGTGAGGGGTCTAGCCCAAGCCAGCACCAAAGGACGTGAGAAAAAAAAGCCCCCGAAATATGCACTCTTGCATTTTCCGACCTCCAAGTGTCCAAACACCAGTGGCTAATTTCGTAACTCAGCGGGAATTCTTCTTCAGTTACACAGGCCACAGCTCCTGATCCAAGTTACATACATCCCATCAACATGTTTATTCACATTGAGAGAGGCTCCTCTCCAGTTGGCGCCTGAGTTGTCACAGCAACAAGAAAAGATGAGGAAAGTTCTGAGAAGCAACTAGAGGCCAAGAAAAGGGGAGCTGGCTGTGAAAGCTGTGGTACTGACAAAGCCTGGTCCCACTGTGGATCCCAAAACCATCCGTGCCAGGAGGATCCCATGACCCAGAAAGCCAAGAGGGAACCAAGCTTCTGGAAAGAGGCAAGCACTCTGTTGACTAATTCATTCAAACTGTATGATTAATGTCTAACAGGCGTCAAAGACAAGGTGAGCCCGAGTCGTAGGAAAACAAGGGTTCAGATGTGACTTCTCCAGAGGAAAGATGACTCAAGCCCTAACTGCCCGATTCTATGTTCCAAGCTGAAATTCATAGCTTATAAGATTATGATTTTCTTGCGAACCACATGGCTGTCAATCCACAACCAGGATCTTGTGCCCTATGTCTATCAAGGAGCCAAGAGTTGCTTGGCTGTCAGAGAGCCGGGCCATCACTCAGTAGAGATCAACTGAATATTTCATCAGCACCTCTTAACATTTTACCCTTCATTATCCTGGGATGGGTTTTATTCAAACATCCCTTCCACAGCTCAATACATATGCACACAAAAACTAAAGAGCTTAGCTTTCCATGAAGAGGCAGTGTAAACATCTGGCAGGCTTCCTGGGTCTCGGCTTCCTCTGGCTGGGTCTAAGTGCACAATGTGAGTGTATTTGGATTGCAACAGAGGAGGCTCTGCTAGACATTACTCACCCTGTGCAAAAGCAAACCAGCCCCCAAATGGAGGGATAAAAACACAGGTGCTCTTGTTTGATGACCAAAACTAAACAAATCATTTGAGGTTTGGGGTTCAAAAACATCTTTCAAAGATGCAGTTCCCACATATTCAGTTTGGATATATGTGTGGATGCCTGCATGCATGTATTTGTGTGTGTGTGTGTGTGTGTGTGTGTTCACTTAAATGTCTGAAGATACAAATATAAATTTCTGAAAAAAAATTACTAAATGTGGAGGGAAATTGACTTTTTATCAGTGTTTTTGTGGCAGATTGAATGAGAATGGTCTCCATAGGCTGATATATTTGCATGTGGTATATAGACCAGACTGCCTTGAACTCACACCTACCTCTATAATGCTGGGAATTTAGGTATGCACCACTATACCCTGATGAAAATTGCCTTTAAAAAAAGTTCATCATGTGAAATGAGTCAAACTCTGATGTGGATCTCCTATATGAAATTACATTAGAGAGAATCATTGAGCCGGTCAAGTTTTCAGCATCATCTGAGTAATCTAAGAATCATTAATTCATAAACAATCAATTTCTCATTTGCAAAATAACAATAATACTAGGATACTGTAAACTTGCCTTTAGTGAGGATGGGTTTACAAAATGATGTTGAAGCTTTATAAACTGTAGAGTACTATACAAAGGTCAGAGGTTTGTTCATTGCTAATTTCCTTGACAAGTCTCATATCCCATGGTGGCACCTTTCCCTCCATGACTCATCCCAACCAATCTCATGCAACTTCTTGGCATTCCAGATACCCCAGGAAGATCTCCTCACCACAGGCATCCCCTTCCTCCAAGCACTATAGCTTTGATAAAAATATGTGTATCAGATGGGGTTTATTATGAAGGAGGGAATGAAGGAATTTGAGACAGTCAGATTCAAAAAACACAAGTCAAATAGCAGCTTTCAAACCTGACTAGGTTTATATTGAAAGAGAAGCAGGAAAAGACGTCTTTCCTCTGTAGCACCTTGAAGGAGGTGGGAAGAGGAAGTCTAGAGTAAGCAGGTATATAACAAATAATGCAGGAGCCGAGGATGAGCAGAATGGCATGCACAGGGCAGCTTGATCAACACTGGGCTCTCTGACAGCAGCCAATTAAACCTGGCTTAGGATATTGTCAAATGAAGATGATCTAGTGAATTCTTTTTTTTTTTTTTTTTTTTTTTTGGTTTTTACGAGACAGGGTTTCTCTGTATTGTTTTCGAGGCTGTTGGTCCAGCCCAGCCTCAAACTCACAGTGTTCCGCCTGCCTCTGCCTCCCGAGTGCTGGGATTAAAGGCGTGCGCCACCACCGCCCGGCTTGATCTAGTGAATTCTTAAATACACAATCAAAGAAAACTAGGCTCTAAGCAAACTGTCTGGTTCTAATAATCAGATGGTCTTACCCTGGATGGTCTCATCAGTAACTGATACAAGAACTAATTCCAATTTCTCTCTCCCTATCAGTTGTATACTTTATGAAATAATTGAGTGTCATTTTGAATTTACACGTGGAAGGGACACCATCATACCCTCCATGCTATAGACATGTGAAGACTTCAACGCTGTTGACATTGGAAGGTCCTTCAGTACTGTCAATTAGAATTCCATAAGAAGACAAAATGACTCCCCACAGCCCTGGTGCCTGGTACCCCACAGCCCTGGTGATGATAGGGAATGGTGAGGTTTGATGAGACCATGGAGAAAGGACAACTCTGTAGAGGGGACAAATATTCAAGTCATAAGGCCCGAAAAGTCTCCTGAGAAACACTGTAAATCAAGAGAAGCAGGACAGAGCCTGATCCCAGGACCCCAGGAGAAGATAACAGTATCAGTGTGGATAAAAATGGAGGAGAGTTCCTCAGGCTTCCATGTTGCCTGGACTGGTTAGAAAAATCCAAGTTATGCATGCTCAGAACCCTGATTGGTAAAACTGGACCAGTGTCCTGGAGTATGGGAGCTTTTGTGTCATTGAACTTATGAGAAAGATAGTGGCGATTATGCAGAGACCTGGAATGGAAGGATCAGGAGGTAAGCAAGCACATGACAGGTCTTAAACTAAAGATAGAGCCCAGAAGAGAAGATGGCTCCCAAAAGGATCTAGAACTACACATGACACTGTGTTGCATAATTTTGTTTAAAGGCCAGAAGTAAGAGGATCAGAGCAAAGGAAGAGGTCATATAATTCATTGGATGTCCACCAATTTGAACATCATGTCAGTATGAACACTAAGCGAAACTATGACCTCAGCAAGGGCAGACCAGAAAAACTTGGCTGCCTGTTGACAACACTGCTAAAAATTCCCCAGAAGTAGGCACATCTGGCATGTGAGATGCTGGACAGAAGTGTGAGCAGATGGTGGCTATGGGAAGAACATTATTAATTTCACAGGTAATATAAGAATTACCCATTTCTTTCGGTTTATTAAAATTCTTTAAAGTGGCTTGAAATGAAAACACTACTTGGAGTTTGTCCAAGCAGAAGCTATGTCATCAAGTGAGAGATGTGATGTATCTTACATCCAAATTAATATGTACTTGGAGGTAGTAGATGGAGGGAAGTTCGGTGTTATGGAAGGAAAGCAATGAGCAGTTGGTGAAAGGGTGTTAGACTTCTCAGCAGAAGAACGATTAACGCCAAAACTTCTGGTGCTAACATTGTCAGAGATGTTTAGGAACAGAGAGGTTTTGTGTGTGTCAGACAAAGCTGCAAAACAAATGACCCTGAAACTTAAAAGAACAAGCATCGATTCCATGTCCAAGCATCTGTGGTCTGATGAACATGACTGGGAATGGTGTAGGCCAAGTGTTGATTACAGGTCTCCAAAACTGGGCTCTCATCCTCTGGGATGAATGGGCCATGTGATTCACATCTTTCTTTTGGCTATAGCAGAATTACAAGTAGCCTGTTCTAAAAACACATTTTTAGCCCCTGCTTGTGTTCCCTCAAGATGACATCCGGTTGGCTAAAGCAAGGGGTCATTGGAAGTGGGTATTTGCTAACAAAGGCCTGATCAGCTAAAGCTAAAGGATATTGTTAAAGTTGTCAGCCATCCCACAATGTGAATTTCTTCTCTGGGCCTCTTTCTGTCTTCAGTCAAAGTACCACAAATACAAATGGAAATCAAAAGACAATGGCACAGAAACAGTGCCTATCAGGGCAAAAAGAATCAGTGGTGACCACACGTAAAAAAACAAAACAAAACAACAAGCAAACGAACAAATACAGCCTCCCTGGGAAGAGTAGAGAAGTAAAGGTTGAGGCCAGATTTGCTTAGACTTCAAGGCAAGCTTAGTTGTCAACAGTGTTAGTACTGGTTATTGGAAAGGGAGGTCCTCTGCCCAACAGGAGGAAGCTAATGGCTGGGCAATCTACAGACCATTGGGGATCCTTCTCAAACAAAACCGAGGAGGGCATCAGCCAAGTGGGGAGAGGTTGGCCATTTCAAACACATTACGGGCACTCTTCAAATTATCCCTAAAGTGGACTGATTTGAGTATTAAACTCTGGGAGAAAGCAAACAGAAAAAGCAAAAGTTACCCTACTATGTTAAACACTTGTTTAATATCAAGACGTATGTATACTAACAAGGCCCCTTCTCTCTAAAAATAAGGGTTATTGCTCCCACTTTACGAGAATAAAGAAATAGTGTGGGGGAGGCCACCTTTTCCTCCAGTGTCAGAGGCAAGCTGGATACATGAGGGGGTGGCAAAGCCACATGGTTGTAGCAAGAAGAGCAAAGAGGCCTGCAGGTGGCACACAGAGCCCTTGTTGGCTACCTCTAGGAGGGCTCCTGTCGCGATGCTGCAGCTTTCAAGAAAAGGCTAACTGAGCCCTTATAGTCCTGAAGCTTGTGATGTTCTAGGAACTCAATGCCTTTAGCTCTGCACAACACCTGACTTCATCCCTTAGCCCTAATGGAAGGAAGCATCCTGGAAGCTATGCACCAGTATGACCCTCCATCTGTCTTTACAGATTCTTCATCTGCTCTACTTCTATTTCCAAAAAAAGGAAGAGAGAGCTGGAGCATGGGTGGGAGCTAGCTGCTTTATACCACCTTCATGTATAGCCCTGCCCAGCACAACAGGACTATAGGCTTGTAGTCTTAGAAAGGGAGAGTCTCAGGGAAACTATAGGTACTCAGTTTTTTTTTCCTTTGGACATACAATTTGTCTCTTTGCAACTATTAAATATCTCAAGGGATAGTTCTGTGTTGACCTTCATACATACACCTTCTGCCTACTCTTCAGGGTGGAATTTAAGTCAGGAATATAAACCTTGCTTCTTTCCTCTAAGAGCAAGCTTGTATGGGTTCTGCCCTCTTCCTACATAGGATCCCTGCTTTCAGATGGAGCAGAGGGATGAATGAAGTCAACTTGGATTCTGTCGTGTTAAGGACCTGGGCTGCGATGGAGGGTGAATAACTAGCACCATTCTTTGTGCAGAATGATGAAGGCAGGTTAAATTGCAAGTCTGTATCAGAATTTCCCCCACAAAGGCACTCTGGCAGACAGCATTCACTACGATTTTCACAAACCTGATACAAATCATCAAAGCATATGAAGGGAGGACACACAGCTTGAGAGTCTCAACTGAGCTGTGCTTAACCAAGTCACCTCCAGATCACATCAGAGTCAACAGCCATATGGGAGTCTTCATTTATTTATGTTCCCTTCTGTCCCTGCTTTCCTATCAAGGAGACTGTACAATCGACCGGGTTTGTGCAGGAAGGATTGTCTTTGTAGAGTTTGAATTACATGGTCCCCTAAATTGTCCTTTATTTTACCTCTCAATTTTTTAAAAGGCAACGCAGCTCCATAGGGCTTTCTCACCGTGACGGATGAGGGGTGGAAGAACCTATGGGCTGAGACTGTTTTCTGCAATGTGCTGGAGGATGGTGATGGGATTGGGTAATGGAAGCTATTTATTTACCACCAGCTGCCTCCAGCTGTGATACCCTGCTAGGTTATGGAGTAAATAAACACCCCGAGGAGGCACGCTGAAGCAGAGCACACATGGAAATTCATCTCCTCACAAATCCTAGAAAAATATGTACTTAGTGATGAGTGCGTCCAAAGTAAACCACCCTACGCCAGTGACTTGGAATGATTTCCACATTCTGTGCAGGAACAACTCAGAGGGATAAGCCAAGACAGTCCTTCAGGTCCCTTTGTAGAGATAATTCTAGACACACACCACATCTCAGCACAGGTATCACCTGAGAGAAACATTGCCTAACATCTGCTTCCTCTGAACTACACACACACACACACACACACACACACACACACACACGCACGCACGCACGCACGCACGCACGCACGCATGTGCACACACACACACACACACACCATCTGCATTACACAACTCATCACATCATCTTGACACAAACCATATTCATTCCACCAGATTGCTGGACTCAGTGGAGCCATAGACTGTGTTCTAGAACTCTCCATACCCCTAAGACTAGGGACAATAACTTTTCTATCAATATTTGTCGACATGAATCAGTTCCTTTTGAAGGCATCATTACTTGTTAGCTTTAAAAAACTGATAAGAAAAAAATGAAAACTAAGAAGCAGAAAAAGAAGGAAATTGCTAGAAGGCACCTTAAGCAATGACATTAAAAATCAGTCCCTTTTATCACCCCCCCTCCCTTCCTATGCCTTAGCAACAGTGATTCCCCCTTCCTGTTTTTGTTTGTTTGGTTTTTATCTCGCCTCGCCTTGGTACCATGCCCCATAAAGAAAATATAAATAATTTGGCTGCCCAATTCGGGGCCACTAATATTGTTTTACAAATGAGGAGACTGTAAGTGGAAGCACCATTAACACATCTATGCCTCATTTTCTTTTCTTTTCTTTTCTTTTCCAGTTTAAATTTAGATAAGAAACAAGGTTGCTTCACAAGTCAGTTCCAGGTCCCTCTCCCTTTCCCTCCCCTCCTCCCGTGCCCTCCCCCCAACCCCCCCCCGTTATCCCCCTCATTCCCCCAGGGAGGGTGAGGCCCTCCATGGGGGTGTCCATAGTCTGTCATTTCATATAGGGCAGGGCCTAGACCCTTCCCCAAGAGTTCAGGGTGAGAGTGCACCTCACATTGTTCTATGGGAGTCCAAAGTCC